TAGCCGACCACCTCCAACCCTTCCTTCTCCTCCATCACCCACGCCCGTCCACCATAGCCGACCACCTCCAACCCTTCTTCCTCCTCCATCACCGACACCCGTCCACCATACCCGACCACCTCTAACCCTTCCTCCCCCTCCATCGCCCACACCCGTCCACCATAGCCGACCACATCCAACCCTTCTTCCTCCTCCATCACCCACGCCCGTCCACCATAGTCGACCACCCCCAACCCTTCTTCCTCCTTCGCCACCCACGCCCGTCCACCATAGCCTACCATCTCCAACCCTTCCTCCTCCTCCATCACCCACACCCGTCCACCATAGCCGACCACCTCCAACCCTTCTCCCACCTCCATCACCCGCACCCGTCCACCATATCCGACCACCTCCAACCCTTCTTTCTCCTCCATCACCCACACCCGTCCACCATAGCTGACCACCTCCAACCGTTCTTCCTCCTCCATCACCCACACCCGTCCACCATAGCCGACCACCTCCAACCCTTCTTCCTCCTCCATCACCTGCACCTGTCCACCATAGTCGACCACCTCCAATCCTTCTTCCTCCTCCATCACCCGCACCCGTCCACCATAGCCGACCACCTCCAACCCTTCTTCCTCGTCCATCACCCACACCCGTCCACCATAGCCGACCACCCCCAACCCTTCTTCCACCTCCATCACCTACACCCATCCACCATAGTCGACCACCTCAACCCTTCCTCGCTTATCACCTCCCTCATCCACTCGAGGGCCGTAGGGGCCGCAAGGGGGCACGGGAAGTCTCGGGTAGGGCCGGTTAGGAAGAGGCAAGTATCATGGTCGATTAGGACGTGAGACTTCTCTCTCTCTCTCTCTCTCTCCCTCTTCTCCCATTCCTTCAAACTCCTTAACCCTTACCTCTTCCCTCTCCCCTTCCCCTCCATGGCGCGTAACTAACCTCTCCCCTCACCTGTTACATTGTCAGGGGACGAACGGTAACGAACTTGATCCTCACTTGGTGGAAAGCGAGGGCAAGGGGAGGGCAGCCGGTCCCTTGTGCCACCAAGAAGGAAAAGCGCCAGACTGTTGTGAAGATTGGAGAAAGCGGAAAGGAGTGTTTTTTTTGTAACAAGGTCAGTTTGACTCAACCATCCTCCTGGAATGCATGACTGAGGCGATCGCATGGCTCGCCTGAGGGAAAGGGAGGGGAACTCATAAGGGGAATTGGAAGGCAAAGGCGACTTAGGATTGCAGGACGGGGCGATGTGTTGACCCCAATGGGGATTGTACTTGGTCATTTGTCTTGTGTGGTCTTGCGCAGGTGAGTAGCTAGGGACGATTTGGACGGGGCTCGGCCCGCGGATGAGGATTTGGGTGGGAGATTGGGTAAGGAAAGGACTTGGATCCGGTTTAAGCCATGGATGCGGGATGTTTCGGTCGGGCGCCTGGGTGGATGGTTGATGCGTGGACTTGGTTTGTGTGGAGTTTGCATGGAATGTCTCTCTCTTGTGCAATGCGACCCCTGGAAAGACTAAGGGCGGTCTTGGATAGGTGATGCGATGCTAGTGGCTTTCGCAAAAAAAATATAGCGGCTAGGGGTCCGGCGACGCCGCTTTACCCCAAGGATGCCGCCGGGGCTGCCCAGAGCCACTAGGCTAAGTGAAAAGGTGCGTGGCCCAATGGATGACGCTTGGCCTGCGCACGATAAGAAGATGAGACTTCAATGAACTCCCTGGACTGCCTGCGTATTGGAAGGAGCAATTGCCTGGTCAGATCTAACTGAAGCGAGAAAACGCCACGAGTGCCCAAAGAGCTACCATCTCGACGCGAGAGCGGAGCTACATCCCCCAATATAAAGCCCTCTCGCAAAAGGCCCCCATCCCCATCCATCTCATAGCACTAGGTGGGGGTGCCCCTGGGACGAATGACCCGCGCCCTGAGCGTGAGCGTGGGCGGGTCGAGCCAAATGGGACCCGCAGTGGGGTCGACCGAGGCTCGAAAGTCCTACAGGGTACGGCCCTTACAAAAATGGTGGAGGTGTCGGGTAGTGGGTTAAACTGACCCATACGGTCTCGAGGGGGGCGCCCGACGCATGACCGCGAACATAAACATGAAGAGAAGGAATGAGGACTTGTGTATGCTCTATCCCTTGAGTGAATCAGATTTGAGGGTGGTTGGGCGCATGGCAAGGCAAGGCCTGGAGGAAGAACATGCATGCTTGCACTTTTGATCAGCCATCTCCTTTGGAGATGACTCTAGTCCTCCTTCCCTTGGATTGATGTTCGTCAGGCCAGGGAAGCCTTGGGCAAGCCGCAAGTCGACCCTTCCTCTTCGTGCGAAAGAAGAGCTCGGGTTACCTGGTAGGCGATTGGGATTCCGGGCTAGTCCGGGTTTCGATGAAAATCCCGCGGCGGAGTGATCTGACCGACACGGGTGCTCTCTTTCCTTTTCTTCGGAGCCCAGCGGGCTCCATGCACCACACTTAATGCCTGAAGGAACTTCATATGAACACAAAGGGTAATCGAGAAGGAACAATCCTGCCCTATGAACGGATACACAAGCGAAGATAAGGGAATGAAGGGAGTTGCTAGACTCCAAGAAAAACTAGCTCACCCTTGAAGATGCTCACGAGAAGGAACCAGACACTGTGTATGGGTGTTAGGGGAGAGTGGCACGCACTGTCCCGAGAGAAAAATTGTGAGCTATGGGTAGGAAGCGCTGGCTGCACCAGGGGAAAGGCACTAGTGTTATGTGTGTCCCACTTGGGACTTGTGATTGCATGATTGGGATTTCGAGCGTCCTGCCAGTTGGAAGGAAGGGGAGGGTCTGCACCAGCCACTGCGGATTGCCAAACACCGTTCTCTTTGCAGGCTGCCGTTTGTTCGTATGCGGGGGTCAAGCCACTGGTATGTCTAACGGGAGTTTGTCACGTTGAGTGCTTATTAGCATTCTCGTCCGTGCGGTGACGGGCTTCGGCTCGATTGATCCACCGGGCGGGGTGTGAAACGTTCCTCAGGCGGGGCCTAGCCTGTGGACTGGCGGAGGGAGCACCACTGCATGGGGGCAAAGACGAAGCTTGGGAGGCGGTCAGTAGCTTCTCGTAGCCTGGTTTGGGAAAGGCTGTTCCTTATAGGACCGATGGAAGTGAATGCCTGGACGACCGGCTCCAATGGCCTCACCGAGATGTGCGGGGTGATTCCCGAGATTAACGGTGGGGACATGAGTGGCAAGTCGGGATGGGGTATTCTAGGTAAGGAGGAAAGGGCGAATGCCTTGCCGAGACCTGGGTACCTCGCTTGCGACGGTTGAGCTGTGTTGGAGGTATGGGCTAAAACCCTGCCAATAGTAACAGTGGAGAGACCATTCCTGGGGAAAAGGTCGGTGAGGAGATGACCGACCTGTGTGCAACGTTTGCCTGAGTTTTGCCTTTTGTGCCTCCCTCTGTAAAGTTGCCTGATGAATGGTGGATGGGGACCAAGCTTCTGAGTCTATTCTCACCTCCAAGTCTAAGTCCGCACGAGTGAGAGAACATGAGGAAGAGGCTGGATAGGAGTCGGAAGAAAAAGGAACCCCGAGAAAGCGATGACGGCTAAGCATGATCGCATTGGGGGGTATGGTAGAGCAATGGCACCTGGGAAATGGGAAGAAAAGTTAGGGAGACCCGGGTGAGGGGTCTGAAAACAACTCTCATCTAGAAAAGGAAAAGCAAACCATCTGACCATGAGGGGCCGTGTGGTGCTTTCATGTGGAAAACAGGACAAGCGCCGGGAAACAAGATGGCGCGATGGTTGTCGCCTCCTGTCTACTCTAGTGGTCCGGAAATACCTATAGAGGTAAGGGATGGGGTATCTGTTGTTCTCCCGGAAGAAGGGACGTGGACCGACCTATGAAACCGTGATGCTGGACGAGAAGGACGCGTTCCTCTGGATAGAGACAATTTGGACTAAGGTCAGCCTGACGAGACTTTCACCTAGCTTGATGGTCCTAGAATTCCGGGGAACAGTGGAAGCTCGAGGATGGGTCTACCTATCGCAGGAATTGGAAAATGCAATGGTAGTGGGACTAGTATTGGGCACAGCACCGGATCAGCTGTTTAGGCAAGCGGAACGGGAAGTGGTATGGGCAGCATGTCAGCGGGGAGAAATTGAGATGGAAAGGATGGAGGTGCGAGTGGAACTCGGGGACCGGAAAAATATGAAACGTCCTCTTAGGACAATGAGGTGCGTGCTACCCCCGTTTCTGGTGGATGCAGTCCTTGGGACCAGGGATAAACTGGAACGTATATGCCAATCGATGACACGCCTGAGGCTGTACAAATGTGCTAGATAGGACTTCTTTAGGCTGTCGGTGGAAGCAAGGCCGTTTGAAGGAAATTGGGCGGAAGAATTAGCTGAGATGTTAAACCTCCTCGGCGAGGACGAAGTCTTTGTTCCCAATCCGGTGTATTGGCAGATAGTCTACCGAAACGTGGCGGCAGGGGAAACCTTCTTGGAAGGGGTGAAAGAGATGTTCTTAGACGAGGAGGATTTCAGTGATGAGGAGGGCAGGGATGAGATAGAGGACTGGGACTTCTGAGGGGGGGGCTTAGGTAAGGAGCGATGGCCCAGGAATTCGAGCTATGGGACTACACATGGGAACCAAGACGAGTCGGGAGGGGAGTAGAGATGTCAGTACCGCGGAGCAATGAATGGAAGGGGACCACATGTGATTGGCGGGGGTATGAGATTGTGCCGGAGCTATCGTACCTATGGATAGAGCGTGCCTGCAACCCGTTGAGGGAAGAGGAAGGATGGGAGGAGATTGCGGAAGGAAGGGTGGAATCAGTCGGGACGATCGTTCTCTCTGAACAAGGTTGGCACCTGAGGCAAGGGCTCGGCAGGCGGGGGAAAGGTTTGGTAACAAAGGATGGGATACGGTCAGCAGTAGAGTCGTGATGGGAGGATGGAGGGAATTTAAACCGCCTGGCGCCCGAATCAAGACTTGGGTACCCGAGTTCGTGGCGGACTGGTTTGGGGGTTTTGATCATGTAACAGAGGTAGCTGACACGATGGAGCGAATACACGTGAACTGCACATGGCTAGCAGGGGAATTCTATAGGACGTCCTTGAAATACGGGCCCTTCCACGACGATAGAGCCCGGGAGGTCCTTATCATTTTGGATATCGAAAGGAATGACCTGCAGGAGGTGGCCCCGGAAACTAGGGAGGTCATAATCCTCCGTGAGGTAGCAACAACATCTTGCTATGTGGATGATGTGTTCAAACTGTTCGAAGTACTGTGGTTCGACTAAGCGCAGGGAAGCTGTGGGGCCAGACAAATATGGGAAAAATTGCTAAGATAAGGGAATGGGATGTCTGACCATTGTAGGGTTCAGTGCGGATTGCGAGACAGGAGATCAAAGGCGAGTGCGTGATGGCAGGAAGAAGGACGTTCCTCGAGGAACGCCCCTTGGGCATTGAACCGCCTAGGGAAGTACCGGGCGGGATAGAGGTCAGCTTGACAGCGGCGAGTGGAGGCTGGCACTAGGTAGTGGATTGGGTCGGAGTCGAACTTGCAGAAAACATGGTTTACTTAGTAACGAAAGTTGAGTGGAGTGCGGATGAGAATGGGGAATGGAACCCGGACCCGCGGAGGCATGTGCGTGCAGAAGGGCGGTTGTATATATCAGAGGATGGGTGGCGGGAGTTTGGAGTTATGTTGGCGTCAGGGGAAGATCCATTGAGTATGTTCGAAGGGGCGTGGCAGTTGGTGTGGCAAGCGGGAATCGAATTCGCGGACCCAGGGATGGATGATGTAACAACAAACCTTAGGGTAGCCATGGTCGGGAGCTTTGAATTACCCAATGAGAACGTCCGGATGAGACTGCCGCCCTCCCTGCTGGAAAGGCTAGGCGGAGTGGAACTTATCAGACGCGCGGTAGCTGACCTTGCCACTCTTACATATGAGGACACAATGATACACCGGCAATACTACCGGGCCTTCCTAGAAGTGGGGCCGTTTAGTGGGGAGCAGAAGTATGAGGTGTTGCGGACTCTGCGCGCCGTTTTTACCACCAGGCCAAGGGCCCCGGTTGTAAGGGATGAAGTTCTATGGGGCGTCGTCCGGCGGGAAATAAGTCAGGGGATGACGTACGTGGATGATTTACATCGATTGTATGAGCCAACAGGAGTAGAAACAGGCTGGTAAAAGAGCCTAGGAAAGGAAAAGAGATAGAAGGGGAAAGAGGCATTGAGATAAGAACCAAGGAATTGCTCGGGTAAGGGCCGGGGAATGGATGGAATAAGCAAACTCGCTTGCTGTTTAAGTTGTGCAGGGGACCGCTAATTGACAATGGCAATGAGACGTGTCGGGATGTCGCGACGGCTCACGCACCCGCGGCCACCCACGGAATGTGGGGGCAGATAGGAGGTATCGCTCCCGGTAAGCTACAGGGTCTGAGGGATTGATACCGAATGGAGAGCCATGACCCTGGGAAGGGACCAGGCATTCATGATGGTGGAATGTTTGTGGGATGGTATGAGGATTAATAGGGGGCCAGGGGACGACCTGTACATTGACCTCAGGGTAACAGGAACCGTATACCTGCCAGAGCTTGGGTGGCATATGTTAGGAACGGAGCTGGCACTGGGACATGGGTTGTTACCAATCTTTCAAAGGGCTACTAGGGTACTGAACCGAGTAGGCCAGGAAGTGCGAGGGAGGAGGAATGTGGGGTTGAGGACCCGGGTGGAAGTAGGAGGTTGGCGAGAGTTTAAGGCCCCAATGACAGGGTTGAGGTGCCGAGTCCCCCGCTTCATGGTGGACCTGGTATTTGGCAGCCTTAAAAGGGCTAGGGACCTAGTGGATTCGACCCTGGTCTGGATCCACCACTTTTGACCACAGACAACAGGGATGTTTTACGATGTGTCGGTCAAGCACGGACCGTTCTGGGGTAATCAAGCTTGGGAATTACTTGACCTAATTGAAATTTTGATATTTGGGTTGCCTTGCTTGGCGTTTGAGGAGTAAAAACCAATAATCGTTAGGGAAATAGAGATGGGAGAAAACTATCTTGCTGGGGTGGCCGACCTGTTCGAAGAACCGGATGAGCTGGGCAGGCCTGAGGGACCAGCATGAGAAAACGCGTCGGGAAGAGGTAGGGAAATAAAGGATGGGTACTAGGATAAGCAGGCAACTATCAGCAAAAGAGGGACAGTGGTTGGAGTTGCGGCCTACTCAATGATGCGGCAGGGAGGAACCAGGAAGACCACCCGCTCCAAAAATTCTGGGGCACCTGGATGCCAATAAGCCGAAAGGGCCATCTCCGATAGGGAAACCACTGGGCTCAGGCACCGCCCTAAGAATCAAAGCGCGGCAGTGATGAAATGCCAAGCGGCGGCGGCAAGGCCCCGGTAGAATAAAAGTTGAAGGACGCCCGGGAAAAAAAAGTCCGAAGAGTCGTACCGATTAATATAAGACGCAAAAAAACATGGGAATAGGCGGGTTTTAGGGCCGGGACTAGGGCAGTTATGAACAACCGGCCACTTTTTCGCAAAAAAAATTTCCATGTGCAGGCTAGGTAAAGAAATGGCGACTGAGGAAGGAACCGATGACCAGCAGAGCGGAGGGAATCAGGGCACGAATGGGAATGGGGAACGAAACGAGGGATCAGCCAGGGATCGAGAGTCAGCCAAACTAGAAGGAACCCGAGAAGACGGAAAGGATGCCTCAATTGGAGAAAGCTCGGGGAAAGCTGGGGGTAGCAAAAGGGGACCTCAGGAAAACAGGGAAGGGGGAAACGATATGAGAACAAACCCTCCGAACCCAGCAGGAGCCACCCCTAAAAAGACAAAAGTCTCGGATGCTAGCCGTAAATTAGCAGAGATAGAAAAGCAGAGGTCATAATTTAAGGCAAGGCTTATCGAGCAGATGATGGCCGAGGATGAGGAGGACCCCCAGGGCGCAGGGTCACGTGAGTGACGCAGGACCGGTCAGGACGAGACGAGGTATGAGGAGAAGGATAATAGCCACAAAGGAACGCCTAGCAAGAAGGGGAAGGACAAGAACGACCCCCCGGCGGAGGGGACGGAAAACGCTATGACCCCGCCTGCCATCGACAGCGGCACTAGCCGACTGCCCGCCACGCCGAAAGTAACAGGGGCGTGCGAGAGATTCTGGAGCCTTAGGGAAAGGGTGTTAGGGTGGTTTGACCCAGAGCGAAGACCAGGGAGAAGCAAAGAGATAGCAAGGAAGGGGAAGGGACTAGTGCTGCTGAAGAAGCAGGTAGCTCCGAAGGTGGTCTCAAGAGGATAGTCGCCACCCTCACCGGGGCACTAAACAAGAACCAGGGGTATCTCGCAGATGCAAAGAAGAAACTCACGTTTGATGGAGCAAACATTACGGAGTTTCTAATAGACTATGAGAACCTAGCAGCCTTACTGAAATGGACAGAAGAGGAAAATATGGATCACCTAGGTCAGCACGTGTCGCTAAGCTTGGGAAGGGACATTATGGCCATCGTCGCCTCCAGTGGATCATGGAAAGAAACCAGAAATGAGATGATGAGGAAATAGTTGAAGGCAGAGAAAATGGCAACAGAGGCCGAATTAACCGCAGTCCAGAGGAAAAACTATACGACTTACAACGATTTCCTAAGGGCGTTCACGCTAGTGGCTCTGCGAATTCCCGGGGTAACGGACCGCATAATGAGTAAATACTTCCTCAGGCAGTTTTCCGAGTTTGATAAAGATAAGATTTTGTCAGCATACCAGCAGACCAGTAAGTTCGAATATACGAGAGATGTGGACTTCAGCACCGTAACAGACCTTGCGGAAAAGACAGTGGTAACCGAGACCCTGGCCCTGCTCAAGGAAGGCGAGGTTATAGATCTGACCGGGAAAACGGGGGATAAGGTCAAAAAGGGGATAGAGAGCCTGCACGAACGGGTGCACGGGGTTGACAGCAAGATGGACAGAATGGAAAATGCGCTGTTAGTAATGCAGGTGCAAGTGTCCAGACCCGCCCTCCCGCCCCAAGAGGCCGTGGTTCCGGCAGCTGTAGCAAACCGGGGGTTTGGCAGGAGGGACCCGACCAACGAACAATGCAAGTATTGCACCATGATCGGGCATTTCGTACGGGTCTGTCCGAGACTCAACCACGATATCGAGCGGTAGAGGTGCAGTAGGTCCCTCAAAGGCGAGATCCTCGAACCCAGGGGGGAGCATGTCAATTGGAACTCGCCAGGAAGGATGCGGCGAGCCGTCATCCTCCTGAATAACTTAGAGATAGCTGTCGTAGAAGCAGAGCCGATAGCCGAGATTGTCCGGGACCAGCCAAGGGGACGGGGACCGCAGGTCAATTTTACCCTAGAAGGCAATGGTCAGGATAGGGTAAATATTACCACTTGCCGGACCGACGCAGAAAAGAAGCTTATTCAAGATACAGTAATGGAAGAACTCGCAGGGACTAGCACGGGCCAGCAAGAGACCGAAGCCGAGGAACAAGAGAAGGTCTATAGGAAGCCAAGGGAGGACAAACCGGTAGACAAGGCTACGGCGGCAAAGAAGAAGTTCAGGTGTCAAATTCCGATCCTGACTTCGCCAGAAATCGATGGCACCTTGAGTAAGCTACTGGGTACCATGGTATCGGTGTCCTTTCAGACCATGCTGCAAGCCAGCCCGAGGCTGCTTAAAGGACTCAGGCAGTTGCTAACGCGTAAGCGCGTAGAGGTAGAGGAGGCCCCGGAACTGCAAGAGCAGGACACGGAAGAGGTCGAGGCGCCGCAAGGAGTCTCCAACCTCCAAAGCATTCCAAGGGGCCTGGGAGATTTGGAGAAAGTCTTTGCGGACATCCGCCTAAGCCTACCGGATCGTGAAGGTGGCGAAGTCATGAGGGCACGACCCGAGACAAAGCTTAGCTTTCATGCATTACCAGTTGGGAAACTTAAAGTTCAAATCGGAACTCACCACACCGACGCGTTAGTGGACGGCGGAGCAGAAATCACCCTCATACGACAAGATTTCGCAACGGTCACGGGGTGGACGGTAAACAAGGAAGTAGCAGGGAGTATCCGGGGAGCCGGTGGCGAAATTCCTTTCACAGGGTATGTCACCAAATGTGCAGTCAGGGCGGGAATCCGGGAATCCATCTGATAGGAATGCATCTGCACGACGACACATACATGGTAGACATAGAGGACCCAGTGACCGGCCGCGGGGAACTCCTCCGACTTCTTGGGACTGGAGGAGACCCTCCGAAGGGCAAATTGGCAACCTGGTCTCCAACATTCGAAGAAAGTGCGCGGAAATGGGCATTCGCACGAATGGAAGGCATGAGGGAAAGGGTAGAAATTATGATCGAGGAGGCTTTTAGTAAAAAGGAATGGATCAAGATGGGTCTGCCCGTAAAGAAGAGAAGGCCTGAGGACGAGTCCCTGGGGGTTATGGTGGCGGAAAAGGAGCAGGAAGTTGAACTTGGGGCCATCCTGCCCAAGCCAAAGGGAGGCCGTAACGAGACCCCCGAGCTAGCGCTCGAAATCCCAGACCTGTTGCAACTTGTTAAGGCAATCAGGTACCACAAAGTGGGGGTGGACCCGACAACGCTTGCCAAGTTTGAGGATGAGGTTCGAAAAGGCTACTGCCTGAATGGGAAGATAGCTAGCATTCAACCCCGTATCATGGAAATAGCAAGGCCAATCCCAACCGTTCATTTTTTAGGAGGACGATCCCAGAAGGCAGTGTGCGAAAATACAAACCCGTAGGAAAGAAGACCAAGCCGGTCTCGATCCTAGTAGAAACATCAAAGGAAGGGGCCATGGAGAAAGAGGAGGAGATCCTACGGGTTATAAGGGAGAGACGCGCAACAAAAGGGCATCGCATACCAGATGAGGTAGCAGATACCATGAAAATAGGAGTGGAAGGGTTTCTAACAGCGCAAGAAACTCAGTTGATAAGAAAGGCATGTCAGGAGTTTCATTTAACTTTCGCTTTCAATGATCATCAGAAAGGGCGATTGGACGCAAAGCTAGTTCCCCCTGTCAGGATCCACACCGTACAGCACTAGTGTTGGAATGATAAAGGGCCCGCCTATGAGTTTGGGATAGCAGCGGAGGTCACCGACCTGCTTAGAGCTAAGATAGATTCTTTTGTGGCTGAACCCACCGCATCCCCCTACGCGAACAAGTGGTTCGTGTTCAGGAAGCCCAATAAGACGCTCAGGTGGATCCAGAACCTGCAGAAGCTCAATGCGGTAACAATTAGGGACGCAGACTCGCTTCCACAGACCGACTTGCTGGCAGAATCTCATGCGGGGCGGAGTATTTACTCCCAGGTAGACGTGTACTCAGGATATGATCAGTTGCCGCTCGATGCGAAGGATAGACCGTACACCGCAATGCACACCTCCGTAAGGCAGCTGCAGATGCAAGTGACCCCTATGGGCTTTACAAATGTGGTAGCAGAGGCGCAGAGAAGTATGCTCGCCGTCGCAGGGGGATATGTTTCCGGAAAAGTGTGAACCATATATAGATGATAATCCCGTAAAAGGCGCAAGGTACAAGGACGAGACGGAGGTTGAACCGGGCGTACAAAAGCTTGTTTGGGACCACCTGCAGGATATTAAGGACCTACTCTAGCGCTTCCTTGTTTACAATATTACTGCAAGCGGTCCCAAGAGCATCCTAGCCGTCCCGGAAGTAACCATACTGGGATTTCGCTGTGGAGCTTATGGGAGGAGACCCGACCCAGCAAAGACAGATAAGATCTCCCAGTGGCCAACACCCCTGCGCACCACGACGGAAGTACGAGCCTTCCTAGGGGTGGTTGGGTTTTGGAGGATCTTCATCAAAGGATTCGCAGAGATAGCAGAGCCTATCCGTGCAATGATTAGGGAAGGCGGCACTATGGGTTGGACCGAGGATAGGGAAGTGGCAGCCCACACCCTGAAAGACATCCTGTCATCCGATCAGGTCACTCTAGCAACACCCTGTTTCAATGACGAGGTAGGACGACCTTTCATCTTAGAAACAGACGGGGGACCGCTGGCAGTTGGAGGAGTATTGATACAGAGAAGCGAGGAGGGCAAGGAAAGRCCAATCAGATTYGAAAGTAGGACCCTGRATTCGGCAGAAYGGCGGTACTCACAGTTCAAGAAGGAGGTCTTAGCGATTCTGCATTGTCTTAAGACCTTCCAGGCATACCTGTTCGGAAGGCGATTTATCCTAAGGATCGATCCTACCAACGTCGTCGGGGCCCTAAAGAACTACAAGCCTATAGACCCGACCGTTGGCAGATGGATAGGCTTCATATGACAATTCGACTATAAGGTCGAGCGGATTGTGGGGCTTCGAAACAGGGCAGATGGGCTGAGCAGGGTATGTATCACACCAGAAGGAGTAGAGGACGCGGAACCAATCGACGCCTTCCTGGAGTATGAAGGAGGGACCCTTGTGGTGGATAATGAGATGGCAGATCCAGCGATTACAATGGGTCAGTTGCTGATTCAGACCTTGGAAAAAAGCGCGCCTCCAATAGTTACAAAACTCAGGGAAGGACCAGCCACCATGGTCAGGCGTAAAGAGGAGAAGGACTCGTGGGGAGCAGAAGTAGGGGCCAAAGAAGAGCTGATGGCGATGACTGTGGAAGGGGGACGGGACGACGTGATGACATTGGCCGAGACCTGGGCACAGGAGTGTCAGTACCTAGTCAATCTCACTTGGGAGGAGCGGGGTACGGATCAGAACGAGCAGGAATTCTTCCTCATACAGATGTATGAGGGCGTCTTCAAAGAAATCGGTCTGCTGCTTGTAGGGAACAAACAACCTACGGAAGTCAGTCCCAAGGCAAGGGAGGAAGTAGAAAAGTATGTCCTAAGAAATGGCCACCTGTTCAAGAGAGAGGAAGGGATGATGCCTAGACGCGTCGTTTGTGGGAGGTCTAGGCAGCTGGACGTAATTCAGGCAATGCATGATGGGCTAGCTGGGGGTCACCGGTCGTCAAAGGGGACACTTGCAAAGATTGTGCCCCTCTATTTCTGGCCGGGAATGGCAGGCATGGTCGCAACGTACTGTCATGTCTGACATGTCAAGAGAGGAGCTCCGTACGGGTTTATGAGCCCTTTAGACCCACTCGGGTACGGGGATTGGACACCTTGTTCACCTCGATCTTGCGGTTATGCCCGTATCGACGGATGGGTTTAGATACATCTGGGATGCGAGGGATAATCTCAGTGGCTACGTAGAAGCCGTAGCCCTCAAAAAGATGACGGGGAAAGCAGTGGCCGATTGGGTGGAAGATTTCTACCTAAGACACCCCTTCGTGCAGGTTTATAGCAGACAATGGGACATAATTCGTTAACCAGGAGGTATTGAACAGGCTTAAGACACTCTGCGTACCAATCAAGATCACTGAACCCTACCATCCGAAGGCAAATGCACCAGTAGAAAGGGGGCACCGGACCTTGAAAAACACAATCGCTAAGCTTGCAGCAGACAACTTGGGGAATTGGCCACGGTACCTTAAGCAGGCAGTCTTCTATGAGAACATGACACCAAAGAGAATGACGGGATGCATTCCAGCGGAGCTATGGTATGGAAGGGAGATCGACTTCCCAGTGGAGGCCCTCGTCCCTACTTGGAACGGGTTAGACGATAATCCGCACTTGACCACGGAGGAGTTAATCACCGCACGTTGCGAGCAGGTCGCCAGGAATGAGGAGGCATTGGAGGAAGTAGTTAACCGTGTAACGGATAGCCGAATGAAGGACAAAGCAAGATGGGACCAGGTCAAGAACATTCAGAAGGAGCCACTCCAGGTGGGGGAAAAGGTGCTAGTTAGGAACTCGACTCTTGAAAGCACATGGTCTAGGCAGCTGGGAAAAAGATTCAAAGGCCCTTACAAGATCGCTAAGCGGGTGGGACGGAATACATTTGAGCTTGAGGATTTCGATGGTACTAGCATAAGAGGGCCATTTCCGGGACAGAGACTGGTCAGATTTTTTAGCAGAGATCCGGTGGAACAGTGGCTACAAGAGGCTCAGGACAGGGAAACAGGGGAAGTCACAACTTGAAAGGTAGACAACTGGCTATGACCCTGGACCGCCTCCCTATGGGAGTGATCATGACCACAAGGGTTGTTCGTTTGTGTGACTTGAATTTATGTGGAACATGGGGAGACTGTCTGGGCTGAGTATGCATGGGGTTGGGAGTTGGGGGACAGTGTACTATAGTTTTTGTGGGCAACTCTGGGGACTGTCTACACAAGGCATCTAAGGGCTGGAACACTGTACCATAGTTTTTGCGGGGGATGTTGTCAATCGCCTACATGAGATACCTATGCGGGGAAGGGGGGGACAATGTGCTTAGGGGTACAAGGGATGATGGGATCACCAACTGCGCGGGGGCAAGCAAGGGTTCTGAGAAGGCCGGCAAATCTGCAAATGGGGATGGGAAGGAATGTGAGTATATGGGGGGAGGGTTGTGGTGATTGTTATGCATAAACAGGACCAGGCAGGGAGCAAACAACGAACGACAAAAATGGAATTTGGAAATGAAAACGACAGCAACGCCATCAATAGGCCTACTGAGGGACAGTCGTCGAGACAGGCTGGAGAATCAAGCTCCAGGAAAAGGAAATTGTATGTGGGGTTTGATCACAACCTGGTTGTGAACAGGGGGGGGAGAAAGCAAGGGACTAGGGGACCTTCACCACCAAGGGAGGGGGAGCCAATAGTCCTCCCCTCTGAAAGCGATACCTGCAGGGAGGAAGAGAGGAACCCGGGGAAAAGACCAAGGTTGGAGGAGGAGGAGTCCATCGAGGTCATAGACCTCAGTAGCGGGAAGAAGAGGACGAAGTGACAATGCCCACAAGGGAAGATCGGGGAAGAGAGGAGGACCCAGGGGAAGAAAAGGACTCATGGAAAAGAGAATTTGGGCCGACTTTCAGCGATTGGTTCGATCAATGGTCCAGTATTTTGCGTTATCAGTGGGCAATGAAGGGCAAGGAAAAGTTGAGCAGGGGAGAAGACATATCCCCAACAACCTTCTTTTCAGAAGAAACGCTTCTTCATCTGCAGGCGATAAAGAGGCTAATGGAGCAAGAGATGGAGGACCGTGCAAGGAGGGAGGCTCGGCGCAAGGCACCGGGGCAGTAAAAGGGGACAGGAGGCATGAGGGGAATAGCTGGAAATTGAGGGAGGGTTGGTACTTGGACAGGCACAACGGCCATTTTGAGTTTCGCACTTGAACTTTGTTAAATGGATTGAGATGAGGCAACTTTTGACTAAGGACTGGGCAATTGGTGCTACTTCGTATGAGTCGTTGCTTCTTCGGGAAAAACACATAAGGATCAGTGCACTTAGATATAGAACTGTGACTGGTTGCGTTGGCTAAGGGCAAGCAAGGGGAAAACAAGGGGGACCTAGATGAGACGAGTCTGTAATGTTGTCGTTGCATTCGAACTTTGTCTCCTCTTTTTTTGGGAAGGACTGCAATGAAACTACTTTTTGGATTGAGGAAACTAGTAGGGGGGGGGGGCGTTGACCAGTGCTACTTTGCATGAGTACTCGCTCCTTCCGGGGAATATGAGCCTTTTTGATAGTAAGAAAGGGACTGGGGATGATCGATGTTGTCTTAAGGTCATGGACGAGGACATGTAATCTCTTGGACATTGGAAAAAACGTTAATGACGAGAGTTTTTCCTTTTATTTTTGTGTCCATGATTGAATGAGTCTTTGCATAAGGCCTTGTGAGAGGTTAGGGGACCTATGGGTAAAGAGGCATGAAGAACCCTCTTCCCTAGGAGCCTAATCCAACCGGTTCCACGTCGCTCCAAAACAACAAAATCCATGCGAGTCCAGAGAAAGAGAAAACATGGAAAGGAGTCAGCACCCCTTGTGATGGTTGAACGACCGGGTGGGCTAGTGCTGCTTGGGGATGCCACCTCCAACTCGAGCATTAGACGCTAAGTCGGATGTACGGATGGATGTAAGATTGGCAAATGGCATGAGGGAAAAGGAAGAAGCATGCGTAAAAACCCAAGACGATGGCCGCCTTCTAATCCCCGAGACGAGATAGGATCCGTGTCCTCGAGGCCCACCCCCTCAGGCGCTAATATTGAAATGGACAAGGATGGCCCTAACCAGGCTCTCCAATTGAAATGGATAAGGATGGTCCTAACCAGGCTGTCCGATTGCAATGGATAAGAATGGCCTAACCAGGCTGTTCGACTTGGAAATGGAAAGAACGACCCTAACCAGGTTGTTCGGAATGGCCCCTGACAAGGGTCATTCTTTGGAATTGGCACTGGGGTCCCCTTGCATGGCTGCTTGTGATGCATGGAACTGGAAGAGCAGAACTTTGGGAAAAAGATTGGAAGAGTTGAGCCTTGGAAAAGACATTGGAAGAGATATTGGACTCAGCCGTAGAAGGGATATTGCATTGAGCATTGGACTGAGAATGAGCACTGGACTGAGATTGAGCCTGGAAATGAGACTGAGCATCGAAATTGAATTGAGCATTGGAAAAGGCATTGCATAAACAGGGGACCCTAGGCAACTGGAAATGGACTTGGAAAGAGCCTTGAAATGGAATTTATCCTTTCTTCTAGTCTTTGGCCTCAGCAAGAGGGGGATACCGGCGCATGCATCGCGACCCCAAAGACCTCTATCTCCTTGAGGGAAAAAGTCTCAGCGCGACATGTTCCTTTTGTAAGAGGATGAGGGTTAAAGGACTAAGGCACCCACCACTTGGATCGGTGCGGGACGTCCGGAACCACCTCCGACAATGAGCTCTAGTCGGGGAGTTCCAACTGCGCCTCCTGTTGAACGCCTAAACGTCAAAGGGCGAGAGAGCCAAATGGGCAGGAAAGCCATTCTCATCTAGTCTATTTTGCTACTCTCCAACCACACGCCATGTCATAGAGGGGTGGCATGGCAGTTTGGGTCGGACCACGGCTGCCCGCGCTAAGTTGGGCGGCATTGTCCAAGGGGAGAGGCTGGGCGAGGTACCGGGTGGAGTCCGCCACCACCACGGGGCATTGACACTGCCTTGCCGGAACATTACAACCGTTTCGGGACTAATTGCGAGGACTTCGTAACTGCACTCGCGAACTGATCGAGAGCCCCAACTCTCTTGGAAGGAAGAGGCCGGAATCCAGAAAATCACCACTCGGGAGGAATGATTCGCGAGGCACGCTCTTACGTTAGACGAGGCCCTGGCAGGCTTGGATTGGACCTACCTGACAGGCGCGGGGAGGAACCTCAGTATTGGTGCTCGCCACGTAAGAGAAGAAAGGTCGGACCGAGTAGAAGGATGAGGCGTCGTCCGCTGGGGAGGAACTGATCACTCTTCCTTTTGTGAAGCGGATGGGCTTGTGTCCTTGACTTGCGGTTGGTGGGCCAAAGGTCTCGTACCTCCGAGCGAGGACCAGCCGCGCGATGGGGACTTCGCGTTTTGAGTGGGGGGAAGGTGTCCCATCTATCAATGAATACGCATGAAAACAAGACTTGTAATTGATTTTGCATGGGTTTGGAAAAAAGGGGCCTGTCAAGATGGCCGGAACAGAAAAAGATTGTGATTGACTTTGTATAGGCCTGAGAAAAGGGGGCCTGGCAAGACGTCAGCGCAGAAAGGACTTGAGCAAGTGACATGGTAGGAACTGGAACTGGCAGATTGAGAGTTGGCTGTGTAACCGGCTCGTATAAGCTTGAAAAGATGAGAAGTGGCTAAGGGGTGAACCAAGCATTGCACATGAAAAGTCAATTAAGTAAAGGGTAAGAAAGGGCAGAGGATGATATGCATGCAGAATTGGCAGGACCTGAGAAAGGCCGGGAGGAATGACCCGGGAAGAATGCATGTGGATTTGACTATGTCTGAGCTTTGGGGAGAGGAAAAATTGTACTGAAAATGTATGGATGTCCTAAGAGAAATGAATGAGACGAAACCAAAATGATTTCTGCTCGAGAATGTTTTCTCAATAAAATGGGAAGATAGATTTGAGATTACGAATGCAGCCTTCAAGACATTGTCGAGAGCGAGAAATAACGTATAATGAAAAACTAGTTGCAAGGCATGTCTGTGGTCAGACCCCTCCAAGGGGCGATGCTAGTCAACTTGATGAGGAAAAGAGACACCAAGCTGCTTAAGCCCCTTGACGTGTTGCTAGCTCTCACCTGGAGGAAGTCATGGCGAATGATCCTTGTAACATCCGTTGCCAAAATCTCCCTTTTTACCTCGGTCCCTGGGGAGGGTGATGGGTGCATCATCCTCTCTCCTGTGGAACAATACGGGAGGTTGTGGGGAAGCTCTTGGGTATTTGGGAGTTCCTGTAAGAAAAAGATACAGTTGTGAGACGGACGTTGATGCACAGAGAGTGTTACGCGCTCGTTACAAAGACATTATTGAGCTTGGGGATGTTACGCAATCTAAAGGAAACCCGAAGCAAAACCTTAACCCCTCCATACCCTCCCCCGCCCAAGGGGCGGAAACTTAAAGAAGGACCCGAAAAAAGAATGGGAAAGACAAAAAGAACCCTGGCAAGCTAACTACTCATCCCACCCCACTCCTCTCCCCTGTCTGTCTATCACTCCAAAATCCCTACTGACTATGGATTGGTGCGCGATGAGGACATCGCGAATGAGTGGGGGGAATATGTCGGGACTGGTGAGTCCCGAATGATTTCCCGCCACTCGAGAGAATGTATATGACCAATTTGTGCACGACAGAAAAAATCGGAGGAAGGAATGCTGGAAAGATCGAAAGCGTGAATACAGACAGCAGGAGGCTAGAAGCTGTCTGGAGTCGTCAAGACCTCCAAAGCTAAAGAGGAATTGTCTAAGCGGGAAGCGGCAAAGGAATGTAAGAGAATAGCAAGGGCGACTCGTTCCCCAAGGACGGAGGATGGCCGCCGGGAAGTTGGTAGGAGCATGAGAGGTGCGCAGCAAGGGAAGGAAGAAAGTGGGAAGGGACAGGGCGCAAGGCGCTGACGCGACGCGACGGCAGGTGGGCCGAGGAGATCGCAGGTTAAGGGGAACCGGCCCCCGGAGTGGAACGGCGTGTGGGACACAAAGGGAACGGGGGGAGTCGGAGACCACCGCAAGGTGGAAGGACGTCAGGAGCACCAAGGGAAGACGTGGTATAGGAGGGGCAGGAGTGTCGGGGACCACATGGGATCGGAAGACGGGGCGGTACCGGCAGGACAAAGAGCCGGGGACCACACGGGACAAGGGGACGGCGTGGTGCCGGCAGGGCAAAGTGCCGGGAACCGCGTGAAACCAAGGGAAAGACGTAATGCAGGCGGGCCGTAGTGCCAGGGACCGCGTGGGCCTAGATAAAATGGCGGCACCCGCGGAACCACTAGCAGGACGGGTATCGACGGGATAAAGTGTCGGGAGCCGCTGACGGGGACTGAAGACCGGAGCCGTCGRCGGAATAAAGGGCGACCGACCCAAGGGGAGTACACGAGGGCGGGACGTTACCCGGGACGACGTCGGAAAAAGGGGAGAGACTAGGGATAATAAGAAAAAGAGGAGAAGTCGGGTGCTGACGAAAATTGACGGCAGAACGAGGAGAGACGGGCGTCAGACGGGAAAGACGGAGGGCACCTGGAGCGACCCCAAGGGATCCTGGATCAGACGCAGCGACAACAAAAATAAAATAACCTGACACCAGGTGGACGCGACCGTCCGGGCCAGGGAGTCCGGATGAAAGCACTAAGTACCGTCGCGGCAAGCGCCGGCGGGAGGTGCCGAGGGGAAGAAAAGGGGGGGATAGAGGTAGAGGAGGCCGGCCAGCAGTTCGGGTTATTTCGGACCAGCCAGGCCAAGGAAAACGAAGTTCCGAAGGCTCCACGTGGAGAGAAGGCTGGCTGGAGAAAATCGGAGCAAGGGGGTTTCAAACTGGAAGCGGCGGCCGCAAAAAGGAGCCTCCTTGGACCCCGGGGATGCCACTACTGCAGTCCGAGGTGTAACGGTCATATGCCGGCTGCAAAATCAGACCTTGGGTAGGGTCCA